ACACACAGAGCTCTCCTCATGCTGTTGTCCTAAAGGACAATATCTTTTTTTCCGCCCGAAGGGTTCGAACCCTCGACCCTCAGATTAAGAGTCTGTTGCTCTACCGACTGAGCTATCTCCACCTCTAAATCTAACCTAACCTAAACCTGACCTAACATACTTCCAGGTGTTGAGTTCACCGGTTCGGGACTTGAATCGCGGCCTGTGCAGGCTAACGTTTGGAGAGGTGATCAACACGTACGCGTTTTACAGCGACAAGAGCCTGAAGATGAAACTGTCGCTTCAGAGTTGCCTCCTGCAAGACACTCGAAAGGATTCTCAGACTATAAGAAAGTTCGTAGCTTCCCCATTTGTCCTGTCTTTCATTTAATTCAACGACGCTTAACACCGTTACCGTCGTTTCGAATTGTAGGATAATCCAGTCACCGGCGAGGCAAATTGGAATGCAGCCTGAATCTTATATATCCATCTCGATGTCTCCCATTGTTGACGTCACGTACACTCGCACGCCAGCCGGAGAGAAATGCTACGACGCGCTTATCCAGGAGGTGAGGATAAACCTGTCGGTGCCGTTCATGTTGCACTTGATTCGTTACGTCATGGACTGCTTCCCTGGTGACCAAGTCGACGAAGGGATCGTTAATCACGGATATGAGAATAACAGCACCGCGACAGTAAGTGAACTAAGTTCGTCAAGTTTCAACTTATCACGCGAGCTGTTACTTTGTAGAGCAGACTTTTTAGTTTACTAGTAAAATAAAGTAAACAGTGGATATTTGTTTCAAATCAAGAACAGAGACGTTACCACCGCGGATAAAAGTAAACTAAAGTATGCACAATATTTCACAGAGGAGCCAGGTATTTATGCATATCTCATATTACAGAGTCTGATACTTTTCTCTTCTGTTATTACTGTTGTACTATTCAGTTTCGTACAACACAATTGTAAAGCTACTGAGAGAAAGAAAACTGTTGTTTGAAAGAAGTGCCTTTGATCTAGATGCCTCGGTGTCCGTGAGGATACATAAGCCGGAGATCTTGCTTTTTGGAAACCTGAGGGCGAGCAACGCGCACGTGATCCTACTGCAAGCGGAGGTGTCGATCGAGAGCAGTAGACACAGTTGCTCGTCGTCGATCATTTACACTCTCAACGACGTCCGTGCCAAGTCGAAGAAACAGGGCAATTACTCACGCCATGTCCCCTTTTGGTTACTAAGGCCGTGCGACGTTGAAATTTGCAGGAAGGAGGAGGCGCCCGAGTTCAACGTCAATTACACCGTCGCGGTGCACAAAATTGACGTTCATCTCTCCGCGGAGATCATGCATACGTTCATTAACGCAAGTGTCACGTTGCTACAACAATTTTACTCTCCAACGCTTGACGCTAGAACTACCAAAAAGTAGTGAAAATGAATGAATAATTTATAATTTTCGTTGAAGAAATTTTACAGTGCATTTTTAGAGGTACAAATGACTTTTTCTATGCTAAAATGTATAGATAAAAGTTTGTGCAAGCTACTGCTACCGCAAAGCTTCTCTATTTTGTCCACTTTGATGTTTCTAATGAAAATTTTATGGTTTAGTTGTTGGTAGTTCTAGTGTTAATACTAAAGATGTTCTTAATGTAGTTCTATAATGTAATAATATATTATTATGTTATAATTAATAATATAATAACATAATATAATAACATATTATTAATTTATTTTTAATATATTAGTTTTATTATCAATTAATAATACATTATTATGATAATGTATTATTAATATAATAATACATTAATATAATAATCTTTATTATAATCTTTCATAATAATGTATTATCATATTAATATATTATTATCTTTATTATAATAATACATTAATATAATAATCTTTATTATTAATATAATAATGCATTATTATTATATAATACATAATATAATAATATATTACTACATTATAATAATACATTCTCCACGAGGGAAATATTGGTTGTTAAAAATATTGGTTGTCCAATAAAAACCACTTAATAAAATATGACTGAAATTGAAATTAAAGTATAGCAGATAATTAAAGTTGTATATGAATTTATATACACAATAATTTTGTATTATAATATATTATTGTGTATATTATATAATATATTATTGTATATCATTATGTATATTGCATTATAATATATGTATTATGTATATTTTAGATATTGAACGAGGCCACAAGCTTTGCAGACAGTATCAACGTGAAGTTGGAAGACAGATTTGCAACTCAAGATTTTAACATGCATAGTAATTTGTGGACGCCGAAGAAAATTTCGAATATACCGTACAAAAAGTTGCACAACAGTAAGTTCCCATCATCTGAGGGAATTTTTTGTAGAGAATATGGCAATTCTTACAAATTGTAATACTTCATAATACTTCATAGATGATTCACACTTGATCTGCGAAGATAGTGACCGCGTGCTGACGCTCAATTTGAAACCGGTGATACTGTGCCTGCTGTTGGAAATAGAATACTCGATGGAACGATTTCCTGTCATAAAGGTGGAGAGCGTGATCACAGCCTCCGTGAACGATTGGTTGTCCTTCGATCTGGAGTCGAACGTGAAACTTCACGCGTTCTGCTACAACATGGATTACAAAAATTGGGAGCCCCTGATTGATCTGTGCTCGGAGGACGACGCGAGTTACAAGTCGTGGGAGTTGATGATAAAAGTAAGTTTGAATTTTCGCGATGTGGATTGTGTAATGAACACTTATGTATCTCGCTGCACGTCTGCAGATGCGCCACGGCGAGGCGTTTCTGGTGAATTCGAACCCAACCGATTCATGCCAGCACGTAAAACAAGATGCCTTGAAAGTGAAGAGAAAGAATCTTAGAAATATAGATCAGGATGTCACGGACATGGTCTTCATAAACCCAGATCATTTGAACGTAACAAAGTCAAGCGGTACGTGAAACATACAAAATTATGAGCTTGTTACTGGTGTACAAAGGTTTTGTTATACTACATGCAAGTCAGACTTATCTAATTTTAATTAATATTTCCACAAATCGGACGAATATTTCAGCAGATTCTTAATTTAAACAAAAATAATATAATTTTACTTGGATAGAATTATAAGAAAACATAGAAAACAAAAGTAATCTTCAGAATTAAACAAAATTTTCAAGTTTTTTTTTAATATTTAATAGTGAGTTGACCCTCCTTCTTTGTATAACCAGACACTAATACTACTTTGTTACAGAGAGTTGTTGTATTTGCCTGTATGTTTGTTCACAAATTCTTTGATAAAGTGAGTTTGTTGATTTACATTTGAAAATTAATAAAACAAGAAACATGCCATGTGAGACAAATCACTGAATAAGGAAGGAAAAATAGAATTTCTGCAGTTAAAAGCAGAAGGTGCAAATTTGAAACAAAACTTCACTCAAAATGAAAAGAAGTTGGTGTGAAGTTGTTAGAAATTTTATATATAAACCTAAAAAGTATAGAAAAAGAGATCAGGAAAGTTCTAAGAAACTTGCAATTTTATGTGTAAGAGACATGAGAGCAGTGTTGAAAAGTACATCTAAAATTATATTACGCATAGGAAAATTTTACAGAAGACAGAAATTAAGACAGCCGATTGAAAAGTACTAGTTACTTAAAATTAATAGAACAAAAAACTCAGAATCGTGCTACAAGAGTTGCTGGAGAAAATTTCATTTATTCTCAGCATGATAATACAACTGTTATACATACAAAATTATAAAAGACTTTTTAAATATAAATTTTTTAGAAATATGTCAACTTGATAGGCCAATAAGTAAAAATTTCCGGATCTCAATATTTTTGAAAATGTATGGGAAAAAGTTAGCAGGATAATGTACGAAAGTGGAAAGCAATACAATAACGTTCAAAAATTAAAAGAAGCAACTTTGTGTGCCTGAAGGAATTTAGATCAATATTATATTTAAAGAATTATTCAAAAAAAGGTCTACCAACTCGAATGATCAAAGTTGTACAAAATAAAGGAGGATCAACATAAAAAAAGACTGGAAAATTTTGTGTGATTATATGAAGACTTATAGTATTTTTATAGTTTTCTTTGTTAATGTCTTATAATTTTGTGATAATATAATTAATTATATTGATAAATATAATTAAGTGAAGTATTTGTACTATTTCTATTTAAACTAAGAATTTGTTGAACTGTTAACTTGTTAAATTAAGTTAAATTAACTTGTTAGACTAAGTTAATTAAATTAAGTAATCGTTCAATTTATTGATAAATGTTAATTGAAATTACAGAACTTTGATTTGCCTACAACAGATACAATGAAAACCTTTATACCAATAATTTCAACTGCAAAGTGTTTCATAATTTTCTCCGCATATAATATTTATCAATTAATGTCGAGAAAGAGAGAGAGAGAGAGAGAGAGAGAGAGAGTGAACTTCTTATTGAGACAAGCTGAACACACTTTATTTCGCTTTACAGAAACGGAAATGTATTCGACGTATGAGGAAGACTCCGACACAGACGACGAGGAAGGGCAGAAGAAATTGATCAGAACTTCCAACTATTTATTCAACAGCAATAGCAGCGGGGACGAAGACAGCGACAGCGACGATAGCAGCACGAACGAGGACGAGGGATTAGAATTGACACCAGAATGTAACGTGGACTCTTGTAAGGATCTGTCGTGCAACAGCTTCGCCATTGAATTAGATTCACTCAAATGTTCGTTCTCACGATAGACTTTTTTAATCGCCGCTTTAGTCGGGCCTCTTGGCCGTGAGTCGATAAAGTCGAACGACACAACAGTGTACATCATTGTATCCGCGGAGGAGAAGCTCAACGTGGTGATCACTCCCAACTTGATCATCGTGGTGGATATCATCGCCAGTGCGTTTCAACAAGCTGCCAGCGGGATACCGACGGTGCCCATCGGCATGAAGAAATTGAACCTTCAAAACGACATCGGCCACGAGAGTAGAATAGAGCTTCTCGTCCCGGACGAGGTCAGTTAAAATTATTTTCCATCATCGAGGTCAGTTGATATTATTTTCGTACATCAGATGGATACATTGTTCTCGAGAGGAGTGATTCTTATGACTATTTTTGCTTTATTTTTTTTTTTCAGAATAACGAGAACGCCACTCGAGTTATTGCCAGCCAAGACTATCACGACGTTAGTCCAGCCGCGAGCATTCCTAGCAGTCCAGAAGCAGAGACTCATTCCGGACATGCAAGTCCACAATTGGTTGACAACGAGATGGACTTTGCCGATCCCGATGCGAATCTTCAGAGTCAATCGGTGCCGATGCAGGAGATATTCGAGGAGGACTCCTCGATCGGTGTGTACAAGACGATCACCGGAGACGCCTTGCGAATCATTTTCAAAGGTATTCTCAATTGCAAATGTTCCCTTTCTTTCTTTCTTGAAAACGAAACTTACAATTGTTGGTCTTCACCGTTGTGATTTGTAGAATTTGAAGATGTGCTGGTGTATTGCCCCAAGAAGCAGGGTTGCAATTTGATCCCTCTGCGACCCATTAGACACGAAGTTCGCTATCATTTGGTCATAGAAGCTACCATTAGCAATTATTTATACCGCACGATCACCGTCCGATCACCTTTGCTGGTAAAGCGTTTGATTTTCTTCATTTGTCTCATGCTTTAGCATTAAGAACACTTTTAGACATTAACACTAGAACTACCAATTGATGAAGCTTAAAATTTCTAGCAGAGACATTGATTGAGGACAGAAAAGTAGAGAAACTTTATAATACAAGCTTTTATATTTGTATATTTTAAAATTATTTAAGTATTATTTTTGAAATACACTTAACAGTTTCACGTCTACAAAGTGTCCAACAAAAATTATAAATTGATCATTTTGGTCATTTTAGTAGTTCTAATGTTAAGAACTATTAAGAACTACATTAATGTATTATAATATAATAATGCATTATTACATGTATATATTATAATTATTATTATTACATTAAGAACTACATTAAGAACACCTTTAGACATTAACACTAGAACTACTGACCAATGAAGCATAAAATTGAAGACAAGAAACATTGAAGACAAAAAAATACAGAAACTTACATAATACAATGGAGTATATAAGCTTTTATTCGTATATTTTCTGAAAAATTATTTAAATCTTTAAAAATACACTGTTTCACGTCTACAAAATGTCCAACAAAAATTACAAATTGGTCATTTTGACCACTTTGGTAGTTCTATTGTTAAGAACTATTAAGAACTACATTAATGTACTATTAAGAACTAGATTAATGTGCTATTGAGAACTACATTAAGGACATGTTTTATTGTAGTTTCGAAACGAAACATCCTACGCGCTGGGCCTCTACTACAAAAAGTCGCTGCTGGACAAATTGGGGCTCACGTGCATTGGCAAGCCCACGAATCCTTTCGACGACAACATCAGGATGACAATCATCGAACCCGATTCCACATACAGTGTTCCCTTATACATAGCTTACCACTTCCCAGTATACATACTGCCTGCATATTTAGAGTGAGTAGAAGACAAAATATTTGAAAGTAGAAAGGACTCTGCTTGATTGCAACATGTTACAAGAGAAATTTTTATTTATTTTTATTTTTTTTTTTTCTCCAGAAAGTACCAAGTGAGCGAGGAGGGAATTTATTGGAAAGAACTGAGCGCAACGACGAACGTGATCAAGGACGTATGTTGCAAAATGAAGGGCGACGAAAGTAATTCCGTGTTTTACGTGAAAGTTTCCTGTAACGAGATACCAGTAACCACGAGGTCGAGCTGCCAGGTGCCGAATTACTTAATAAGCATCCATCCTCCTTTTAGTTTCAACAATCAGCTACCGTTCGTTATTGACGTTCACATACCCACGATCAACTACGAAGTGAAAATCGAGCCCGGGGAGAGAATAAACGTGCACTCGTTGAACTGCAACACGGACATACAGTTCGTCTTCAAGGTACTGCCTGCGTTGCAACGTACATGAGAGATGTTGGAACTGATTCAAATATGTCTCTCATCTCTGAAGGTGCAGAATTACCTGGGCGTGTACTGGACCGGAACGACGAAACTGTACACGAGCCTGGAGAAGAAGTTCGTCGTGATGAACGCAGACGGCGAACTGGAATCGACGAAACCGTTTTTACTGTGCATAGAACTGTGCAAAATAACAAGCTGGCACATTGTCATACAGTCTCAATATTGGATGATAAACAAATCCGGATTGCCTCTGTTCATCAAGGTGATTACTTGGTGATTAATTCACTAAGTAGCTGAACTTATTTCAAAATAACTGCGGTTCAAGTTTTAATATTCTTCGTATCCATATTTTCAAATATTTCATATTCAGTTACATATTTTGACATTAATATTCAACGTGATGATTTACTCATTCTCAGGAGTGTCAGTCCCATGTAATCAACGAAATTCCAGAGGAAGAGTTGATGGTGTTTTCTCAGAAGAACAATAAGAAAAGTACAGTCAGATTGAGAGCTCACCAGTCTGAATGGTCGTTGCCCTTCGGACTAGAGGGGATCACATCCATGTCTCTGATCGTGTGCAAGGATACAGAACGTGGTAGAAAGTACAGGATCTTGACGGAGATTGAGAGTTCCCGTCTCTCCCCGAATTTCACCAAAATCATCACGTTCCTTCCCTACTTCTACATCACCAACAAGATGAAGAGAACCCTCAGGTTCATGGAGGAGAACGATCAGGCGGATTTGTGGAACGATCTGCTCGCTGGGCAAACCATACCATTCTGGCCGGTCACAGAATCGATGAGGATGAGGGTCAAATGGAGGAACAGTCAATTGGTGTCGCAACACTTCAGCATCACTCAACTAGGGAAGACAGTGTTAAGAATGGACAACGGAGTGAGTAGTCGAGTATAATTGTACGCAAAGAGATTTCATTGTAAAACTATTTGTGCTTGTTTCAGTCCGCAGTTAGCGTGGAGATCAAAGGTGGCGTCAATTCACCGTACCATGTTACGTTCCAAAAGTACACGGCGGGTGATATACCCGTGAGGATAGACAACTTCTGCGACGATTTGTTCCTGAAGATCAGCCAGTGCAATCTGGGCCAGGTGGTTCTGATAAATCCGTTCCAAAGTCTGCTGTACACATGGGATGATCCAACGAAGTCCAGAGAACTGGTCTGGAACGTGTACAACAATAAAAAGAGCGGGTACAACGCAAGATTCGAGAGGGTGAGACACGCGTAATTCGTAACACGTCAGAGAATGTGCAACGTGCGACGACGATTCGTTTCGTTTTCAGGACGGATACGGGCAAGAAGTCATACCGCTAGTAATCGTCGACAACTCCAACAACAAAGTGTCTTCTGCCTCCTCGTCTAAATCTCCAAACAATAAGCTGACTTGGTTGGAGAGTAAATCTGGAAGTTTCAACGACGAGGGGAGCAGCAACGAGTGCAACAGCGACGTGAAGTCACCGATGTTGAAAAATGCGCAGGAAAAGAAAACGATAATCTATTGGGTCAGTTACATGGAGGGGAATCAGAGGATCTTGCTGTTCACCCAACAGGAATGCGTCTTCTTAAAGGCGAAGAGTATAGTGGACCCTGAACCCAGCAAGAGGGAAATATTTCTTTCCTTTGCTGGTGTTGGAGTCAGCATTGTGAGCATATACTGATAGTTGTCAAATGAGTTAAAATGATAGCGACAAGATATCTTTACAATCGATTTGATGTGATTGGCAGGTGACAAAAACTAACGAAATTCTAAAAGAATTGGTATATGCTAATGTAACAGACTCTGCAGCTCATTGGGAACTTTATTTCGACAAGAGGTGGAAGAGTTTGTCCTTGGAATTGAGCGCTTGGATAGAGAGCAAATATGCACATTCCTGCAAAAAGGCGCAGTTGGAGAATTTCATCGATGTAAGATCAGCCCTTGACTTGAAATTAATGTAACTGTGTAATTAATTACACCTTCCAACTGTAAGGAACAAACTTTCAGGTTGATCTTGTGAAAATGCACATGACCAAACCGTTCTTTGGGAAATTAAGGAGGACCTATTCCCCGGGAATTTGGCTACACTGCAGAAAGTCTATGTCACTGACATATCTGCAAGGCTACATTCACAGGATACAGGTACAGCCATAACTTGTCACTTGTAGTCAATATTATACAATTGTCAAGCACAACAGTAAAAAACTCGTCGTTTCAGATTGATAATCAAATTCGTAATACCACGTTTCCAGTGATACTCTACTCAAACTTGCAAAAGGGGATCATCAACTACACAGGCAATCATAAATTGAAACACTGCGTAGAGTTCACATGTTTGAAACAGAGGAAACTAAATTACGACGTTTACAAGTACGTAATCACGTGTGAATACCGTGCAATCGCTTAACTACAGTCGAACATATTTCGCAGGAGTGTCTGTGTCATAGTTAGAGAGTTTGATCTAAATTTGCAAGAAGGTTTCCTCCTCTCTTTGATCGATCTGATCCCAAAGAAGCCGGAAACTAAGCACTCTATCGCCGCGAAGCTAAGAAAAGATGTTTCCAGCATCCATATCTTGCCTTCCAATAAAACCAACGTAAGTATACTCTTTCGCGTATTTATCGATACATTAACGGAACCATAATTTGTGCATAAGCGCTATTTACACCAGGTTCAGAAGACAGCGGCCAAGAGGAAGAACGTGATAGAACACATGTACATTTCTCCAATCTTGATACGCTTGATACTGTTGGCTGACACGGAAAGACCTAATATTTATAACATCAGCGACATTACGGATTATAAGAACGTCGTTCGATTTATCTTTGAATACTCTGAAAAGGGAGGGTCTGAAAAACACGCTGAATTCAGGTTCAATACAGAAATTTTAATACTTGACACAGAATGTAACGTATGACTGTACTTTGCTAATCTCGTGTATTTCTTTCCTTTTTTCTTTCAGACTCCCATATTATCAGAGAAACTTTATTACAGTTGACACTGATGAAATTCTGTCAGATCTGTCGCGCTCTTACGTGATTCAAAGCATGCAACAATTTCACGTTTTAATTCGTTCCACTACAGTCTTAGGGAACCAGTGTGGTTATAACTTCAGATCACCGGGGGACAATTTTTATGATTCCAACACAGTACGTATTAGAGATACTTTGACACAATGTTTCTTTGTAAGAATTTGAATTTTTAAGGTAATTTTAATTGTACGAGTAGTTATTCTTATCAATTTTCCAGTTGATCTTATGCGGGGACGAAATAGCAGAAAAATTGAGTTACGAGGTAGCATGTCAATTGGGCTACGCCACTTTAGATACTACGCAAGTGTCAATCTTTAATGTCAACGTTGAGCCTCGTGCAGTCAAGGTACGTTGAAGAGCAGCAGGAGAAACATTGCAATCGCTCGTTATAGAGACAAACTGGCAGAGATATTTCCTTTCCTTTGTTTCAATTTTAGATGAAAGAATCGTGTATTCAGAATAAAGACGTACCACCCTTAAACCCTTCGATCCGTACTTCTTTTTCTACAGAAATTGAATTAGAAACGTGCAGCTTAGTGACTGCCTTTATTAGCAGTGAGTAAAAAAAGAAAAAAAAAGAAGGAACACTTTGCCTTGTTAACTTATTCCGATAACGTTCGCAGGTGTTCATCAAGAAGAGTTGAAGTATTTCCTTAGAACTTTGGGAAAGAAAACGTCGATATTTTTTAATACGGAAAGTTCCTCACTGAAAACTTATTCAAAAGTAATAGCGGATATTATAAAAAGGTAGTGACATTGATGTAAAACGATTGTACGTTATGCAGGATATCTACATCTGAATTGCACGTTTACAGGGCACAAGAAATAGGTCATAAGTTTATATCTCGTATACGCTTACCGCGTTATGTCAATCCTTACAAGGTAAAAACAAATTTACACAAGTTTGTCAAAGATATTCCAACAGAGACGTGAAAATAGATTTCACTTTCTTTCTTTTCTCTATTTTTCTCGATCAGGGTGTAGAAATATTCTCGATGCACAAGGCAAAAGGGATGCACCTTCTAAGTGTGATTAACAAGAATCCAGGTATCGAAACGGACGTATACTGGGCGCATACAGTCTTGTCAAACGACGGGAAACACATAGCTCTGGTTTCGTTGCAGTGCGTATACAAGAGTCAATTTCCCTCCAGTTGGCGAGAAGCAAGCCTCCTCTTTTTTTTTAATATTACGTCCCGTTCATTTCAGGCGGTTGTATTTCATCGAGAAAGGTTGCACCTGGGGATCCTTGAACGTAAAATGGACCTTGGAGACACATCAATTACTATCGCCGCCAACTGTGGTTAACAACAAGCTTATTTTGCATGTAAACAAGGTAGTCGTACCCAAACTCGACGCAAGTTTATTCTTCATAAAAACTCGAGTGTACTGAACGTACTTTTTCTTCTTTTTTTTTTATCTGCAGAACGAAGACACTCTGTCACCGATGGTGGATTGGTACCTGGAGAGCGAGGCGACAGACATTCTGGAGTGGCTATGCCAGAAAATAAACATAGCGATGATCTTGAACATGGAGAACAGTGTATGTTCAAAGCAAGTTG